ACCATCCAAAACTCTTATGCTTTATAAATATGGTTCAGTGATATTGTGAGATCTTAATTTTGGCTCATTTTGCCAATGACAAGCATTCTTCAGATCTTGAAGGTTCAGTAAGACTAGTGTCATTCCAAGTGACCACTGTATTACTGTTCCACCATTTTAAATGACAATTCCTCATTATTTATACCGCTTGTACAGCTCAATGATGTTGAGGGATCTTTGTTAGTTCACTTTTATAGTAAATGCTTTGGCTTTATCATGCCAAATAACCACAATTAATTAATTATTGTTCTAAACAACATGTGGGTTGCCTTAATGTTATGTTTCTCAGGTTCTGACCGTTTTTACGGTTTATGTGTACAGTTGAGTCACGGCTGTCCTCTGTTAGAGCCTGGTGACCTGTGGGACACTATCAGTTCTGCTCTTGAATGATAGGGGAATTAATTTATTTCAGTTTTTATTTACACTTAAAAGAGTCTTAATGAAACAAATGCAGATTCAACAGAAAGAGGCATTTCTGCTCTCTACTTTTAACACCTGTTCCAGAAAACATATTATATATTTAATGAAAAAGTTAGTAGGAATAAAATGCAGGGAGAAATTATTCTCACAAATATCCTCAAACTGTTCCTTTGATTAAGAGAGTGTTTTCAGCTTTTAGAATCGTGTCATTGTTCTGCAACCCAATCATTTACACTGAGCATGAGCAGTACATGCTTGTTTACCGACTGTGGGTTACTTGTTGGCTGCTAAATCATGGCTCTTCATTTTTCTTTCAGAAAAAAATTAAAGGGCCAATATGCTCTGAGGGAGTCAACTAGCATCAGTTAGTTAGACAAGGACAAGTAGCTTGTATGTATGTCTGTTGCATATAATGTCATCAGAGGAGTCTTTGTCTGAAACAGCTGTATCAGAGTGGCATGAAGGTAATTCTTCAGGTTCAGATGAGGACCTCCCAAACAGGGAAAATCTCTGTGTAAGGCCACTTTCCTGGCAGAGCATTGAGGTTAATGGTTTAATGGCCCAGTTGGACCACCGCAAGTTGCATGGTGTCAAAGCCAATGAAGTGAAAATAATGGTAATAGAGCACACAGTGAGACCAGCATCAAACCAAGGAGCACCAGGGTTTGAGTTTGAGTTTGAGTTTGCTCTGGCACCCACCACTTACAATAGAAAAAGGAACTTGATCATAAGCATAACACAGATAATTTTTTGAAGAACATTCAGAAAAGAAGAAGACATTTTAGATAAAAAATTTACAAAAATAATAACACTCAAGTTGAAGTTGACATGCATCATGATTCAGTTCCTTTTCAGTTAAGTTTCTAGCAAGGCTGTGCTCTAAGGAAAATTGAAGGAGCCCAGTCCTCTGAATCTGTAAAAATCTAGGGTGCCCAGCATATGATTTGTATGAAAAAATCTGTGATTTTCTAGTCGCCCGAGGACAAAAAGTTAGGCGCCAGGGGCCACCGGGCTCTGCTAGAGCACAGCCCTGTCTAGAATCATATTTACTCAGTAGACAATTGCACAATTTTTTGAGTTTTGATGAAGACCTACAATGTAGTAAGTGAATATCCTTTGACACCCATGGGAAGGAGCCACGTTAAAACTAGGTAAATTACCAAATCTCAGAGTGATTTGTCACAATCCAGTGAAAATCTTGCCTGTGTTGCAGACACTCTAAACCTTCTGTATAGAGCATGCCGTCTGAGAATTAGTGCACAATATCATGTTTGAATCCCACAGGGTCACAAAGACATGCATGTATGTCAGCGTTTTGTGATTGGCTAGGTTCTTACGCTGTTTGTGATTAGTCCGATTTGAAATAAAGTGTTGACACAAAGTCACATAATCTCAATGACCTTTGTATGGTATGGTGGAGCCACAAACTTTCCCTTACCAGACAATTGTTCAAGAAATTTGCCATCTTTGCAGAGCTGTCCTTGTTAGTTTGCACCGAATCACTCTGTAACTTGGCAACTTTACTGAATTTTAAAACCTTCCATCTAGTAGCCTGTAAATGCAGCTGTATTTTCAGTCGTCGTGTCCATTCACCCAACATATGTAATTGGAGATACATCTGCATCCACTTTCTGCAGTGGTGACAGATCCTAGGGCTACCATAAGCACTGCCTTTAAAAAGTGCCACTCCGAGGACTAAATCTAGCCAATACACCCCATAGTAGTAGAGTAATTACTGGACTCCAAATGGCATATTTTATGAAAAAGAGTGCAGTTATGTTTTATGCAAAAAAAAAATACCATGTGTGACAACAGTTTTTGATAAACATGGCTTAAATTTTAATCACCTGCATGCCAATAACAATAATAATGATGATGAATTAAAGAAGTTCTACAGAGCTTTCATAGTGTATAGATTGTGTTTAGATAATTTGGATATTTAATCAGTCCAATACTGCAAGCAAAACAGCTGATCATGAGAATCAGAAAAAATTGCTCAAATTTTTAGCAAATAATTTGATTTTAGTAGAAAAAATAAATGTGATAAAATAATTATTTATGGTCATATAATAATACAAGAATTTCACCAAATCATATTATTTACAGTGATGTAATAATAATAATAATAATAATAATAATAATAATAATAATAGTAATACAAGTATTTAACCAAATCAGTGGATAGCAGATTTGCTTTCATACACTTGAAACACTTTTTGGCTACCTATAGGATGAGAGTAAAATTGGGGTGTCATTTCATGCTAGTTTTAGAAGTTTAGCAGTAAATGAAGCACCTGTAAAATAAAATACATGTACATGCTAAGAAGGTGACAAAATTAACCTTACAAGTGTTTACTGCTGGGTAAAAATATATCAAAGTCGTACCCAAATCATAGAAATGCACAGAGCTTTTTTTTTGCATCGTAACTCATTTTATTTACAAGAAATATTTTTATATAACTGATTTGGTTAAAAATGAATCATACAGATGTATCTCCCTTGGGGGTAAGTGAATAGCACTAGGTACACTATATAATATTATTCACTGCCTATTTTGGGTAGTGGATAATATTTATCAGATGAAAACAAGTTCTTATAAATAATAATTAGAGGAATATCGCTTATCACAATAATTTGAGGCTAATTTTATTTCCTGTGGTTGATGTTCTGTTCATTAGTAAGGATGTCACATCTACATTGGGAGTGATGTGTACGTGTTGTCATCGTACAACCATTTGCCAATAGTATCAATTGAATCTAGAAAGAGTATATTTGAAGTATACCACTCAAATGGAGTTACGTTTTATCTGTACCAACCTTAGATAATTATGAACCAGCTAGTGTTGACTTGCACTTTCAAACCCAATGTACATTCTTATACACTTATGAATTTAGATAGTTTCACATTGTATGTGCTTTTTATTTAAAGGCATATATTTTGTGGTACATGCAGTGCCCTGCAGAGGCCAATGGAACTTTCTTTTTAATTTATCTTGCTTTTTATTGTACAGTGTATATTAAAGATAATAAAGTCATTTTATTCTTGAAATTTTGTTTGGTGTCTAAATTGTTTGTCAGTCATTTATGTTACCAAATAAAAATAAGAAACATATGGATAATGATGTTTTGATCAGATTTGCTATCTTGAGCGAAAGTGTAAAAAAGATATTTTAATCAACTTTGTTTACCTTACTTAAAGTATGGAAAACTGCTATCATGGCAATATTTGCCATCTTGAGCAAAGATACAGAAGAACTGATATTTGATCAACTTTGCTACAATGGGGAAAAAGTATGGGAAACTACTGTTTTGATCATATCTGCCATCCTGAGCAAAATTGAGAATAAAGTGGTATTTGGCCAAATTTACTACCCTGAGCAAAACAGTGGCAAACGCCTATTTTGATCATATTTGCCACACTGAGCAAAGATACGGAAGAAGTGATAATTTGACCTCATTTACTACACTGGGCGATACACAAATAAGGTGAATTTTTGCTCAGATTTACTATCCTGGGCAAAACTGTTGAAAAATGAGTTTTGGTCACTTTTGCTACATTGAGCAAAAATGTGGCAAATTACTACTTTGACCGAATTTTCTATAGAGAGCAAAAGCATTAAAAAATTCATCTTCGATCGCTTTTGCCCATTTGGGCAAAAACCTGACAAATGTCAGTTTTGCTATCAAGTTTGACACCCCTGTAAATGCCTTGATAAAGTAAAGGTTATCCTTGTTTTTACACACGGGGCAAATTTGAGGCAAATTCGGCATTTACCACCTTTGCCACTAACGCAAAATTATGGCAAAGTTGGTCCTATGTCATGTAGCAAAACTGAGCAAAATTAAGCAAATGTGGCATTTGCAGATGATTTGCTCAAAATTTGCTATAGAGGTAAATCCGTTTTTTCGTCCAGTGTATGGACCTCTTGGAATCGCAATATGGTGTCAGGAAATCGATTCGTTCACAGCCGAAACAGCAGATGGAACTTATCATTTCAAACCATATTTCGTCACCCACGTTATTTCTAATGAATGATACCCAGTCAGTGAATATCTGGATGCTGTTAAAGTGGGGAAAGCTTTGTGACTTTGTGCAACAGGAAGTTAGCAGTGATGAATTGACATCAATGACTTACCAAACATACAAACAGATTGGTGTGAACAAAAGCCTGTGGAAAAAGATTCGCCCCCAGCTGCAGAGAGAGATCGAAGACCAGGGTGGTGCTTTAAAAGTATTATACGACATATTCATCGCTCCAATTTCACACTCGATAGGTGACGAACTCGTCATTGTCCCTGACGGTTCATCGTTCTTGATTCCTTATGCTGCCCTCGTGGACCAAAACTCCAGGTATTTAAATGAAACGCGTAGAATTAGATTGATTCCATCACTGACAAGCTTATGGCTGCTGGCAGAATGTCCGGAGAACCGCCATAGTTCATCCGAGGCTCTACTTGTTGGCAACCCGTGGGTGGAAACTGTACGCATCAAAGGCTGCAAACCGTTTCCGCAGCTTCCAGGTGCTGAGGAAGAGGTAAAAATGATTGGGCAAATTCTAAACTTCGAGCCTCTCACCGGAAAGAACGCCACAAAAGATCGGGTTTTAAGCGGGCTCAACTCAGTTTCGTTAGTGCACATAGCAGCTCATGGTCATACAGAAACCGGAGAAATCATTTTGTCTCCTAATTTTTCTAGTAGTGCCAAAAGACCTAAAGAGAAAGACTTTCTTTTGACGATGGCAGATGTGTTGGATGCAAAAGTGCGCGCCAAGCTTGTTGTCTTAAGCTGCTGCAACAGTGGGCGAGGAAAAATCAAAGTCGAAGGAGTGGTTGGTATTGCACGTGCCTTTTTAGGAGCCGGTGCGCGTTCTGTTATTGCCACACTGTGGGCGATTGATGACGAAGCCACTCTTGCGTTTATGAAACCTTTTTACGAACATTTAGTAGCAGGGCAAAGTGCAAGTAAGTCCCTTCATCAGGCCATGAAATGGATGAGGGAGTCGGAAAAATTCAATGCCGTGAAGCACTGGGCTCCATTCGTGCTGATCGGTGATGACGTGACATTGAATTTCGGTCAATGAAAGGTGAGATCCTCTCTGTAAGATAAGATAGAAAAATAATCACATGTTCGTAGACTGGAGAAATGAAAGGGCTTTTATCTTTGGCTCCGCTGTTAGATTTCTTGCACCTGATTGTTTGGAGACCGGGAAGCCTTTCACTTTCGGCAATGAGTACGATTGAGAAACAAACAACACGACAGAAAAGTAGTCATTTAATCCGCAGATCAACAGAATAGGAATAACACTTTGTACAACTGATGTAATAAACAACAAAATGGCAAACGAAGATGTAGCTTCATTGGAATTTTCACACCTGAGTCTTTCATTCATAGATTAAAAGAGAATCAAGAAAATATAAAAAATACAGTTAGTAAATCAAGCTTAAGAGATTTCATCTCTAAGCCGTTAACTTTTCAGAGTCTATCACCATTACTGTCTTCACTTGTTTTCGACCACTAATAAGCATTTTTTTCATGTTCAGTTAAAGAATTATTCACGGTATAAAAATTAATGCACCCGCAGGAAGAAAGAGTATTGTGAACAGGGCAAATTCCGCCTCCTGTGGGGTACTCCTCTAAGAAAATTTGGTAAACTGTTTTTTTCCTTCTGAGACTTAAACCGCTTCTCTCAAAAGTCAAATCGGAATAAAAACATACCCAATTCCAGGCCTTTCTTCCAGGGAGCACAAATTTTAGGCTCAACTGATTTCGGGCCCAGAGTCTATACCCAATTTCAGGTCAAAAAAATCCATTTTGCTTGGGCCATCCATACTGTTAAGCCCCCTCTCTCAAATAAGTTCCCCCCTCTAATAAGCCCCCCCTTCTTTTTTAAGCCCCTCTTCCCCTTCCCCCCTCCCCTTATTATTCTTCACTAATTTATGATATAATATATTTATCAATCACAACTGTAACACTTCATGTGGACTGGTCCACGATAGTTTTTTTCACCAGCTGGACTTTCAGATTTGTTTTTGATCCTCGGCTGCATGACATACAACCATTGTACTTGAGCTTTTCCACTTTGCAGTTCTAGTTCTTTATGGGGAACTGATACCATCGTCCTTACTAAATTATGTTGGCCCCCCTCCTCAAATTTGTTTGAAATAAACCCCCCGGGGCTTAATAGAGGGTTTACGGTAACTATAGAGCTTATTTAAGGGATTAAGCGCCCGGCACCCTACCTTAACAAAGTAGAGGAGACTAACGTGGTTGTTGCTGTCTTGAATCCATTGCAGGCCAACGAAAGAAATAGATGGAGTTCCTGATGTACCTTTGGAATCGTCTTCACCATACTGAATCCCCACTGCGTCGCTTTCCTGCGACAGGATTAAGTGCTATCATCTTTCACTCCAGTTTAACTGGTTGCTATCCATAGCAACAGACGACAGGGAACAGTTTCAATGCAAATATCGTCTCAAATAACAAAACTGGACCATTATTTCTGAACTTTTCGAAGACGCAAACACGCCTTTAAGCTTTCAAAAAGCAGGATAGCAGATGCGTGACATAAGCCCCTTTAACAATGCGCTGTACAACCAATCGTTCTAGAACGGACCATATGATGAGTTGTGATCAGTGAACTTTCCCAGCTAGAATAGGTATTAAATAATTGAGTTTCAGTTTTATGAGAGCTCACAGATTTCATTTGTTATTGCTTTTAACGTGTAAAGCGAAAATCAGTTTAGAAATGAGATGCTCATCTTAGTATTTTGGGTCGGCCAAGTTAGGTAGGAAGTGTTGCTTAAAAAATATGCAGTTATCCTACTACGAGAAAGTTAGCCACAATACTCATGAGATCTCTCAAGATACCCGAATCCGTGATAAATATAGTGTAAAGTATACTCAATTAAATATTCAATTTGGACTTGCCCGTAAGTTGTTTTTAATTAGTATTTACCAAATCAGTCGGATAAAATGAGAAAAGTACCTTTTTGTAAATTAAAAACGTCACTTAGTGGGAACTTTATTTCCAATTTACGAACACTTCAGGGATTTTGTCAAGTGCATTTTTACGATTTTGTTGCAAATTCAGCATGAAAATAATTTACTACCTACCAGAAATCACCGCCAAAAATGAAATTTTGGCCATTTGTCAGTTTTCAGTTAAATTTAAGGGTTTTTGTGAGTTGTCAGTTAAATGATTATTAATGATTAACTATGAAACTTATTTGTGTTTTTTTGATGCGAAATTTAGCTTTAAAGACACATATAATGTAATCAAAATTGATGATTAAATCCAAAACTGATGCAATAGTACCTTAATTTTTATCAGTTTTGCTATTGTTAGCATTTCAAGTGGCCCTCCATTTCTCAAGTCTTATGTTACTCCCCTCCACTCCAACGTTGTTGCTGGCCCAGAGTCCAACGTTTCCAACCATTATTCCAATCTAAATTTATACCTTCAGAATATATTATTGGGACGTAGATCGAAAGAAAGACAGTATCTGAATCATCTCGGAAAAGACTTGCAATTGCTTTTGTAACGCCCTCATTAGCAGCCATCGTATGCTGGCGCGGTCTCAGAGGAGCGTAAATTTGAGATCATAGGTCATTTTTACCACAGATGGTAACATGACAAGGTTATTGCAGTAAATCATTAACGAAATATGACACTTAAATGTCTTGCTGCTAAGATTACCCCCAAAAGACGCACATTTGATCACATTGTCTGACGAAAAGAGGGAACAATGCTGTTTAAGGCTTTAAAACGGTTTTTAAGAAAATAAGGGACAATCAGGTCCTTCATCAGTTGTCAGTAAAACCCAATGAAATGTCAGTTGTCAGTTAAAATTTTGGCCATTTGTCAGTTGTCACAACCCCATCCAGACCATCTTAATACCACTAGCAAGGTGCACTGAAAACAAAGCGCTTGATCGTCACTTGTCTTTTACCCAAATGTGGTAATCAAGCAAGATGGCCCGTTCAGTCTTAAAGAATTTCTTGAACACTCAGTCCACCGCAAGTAGATTTTATAAAGGGACTGAAATTTGAAAACTTCCTCCTCTAGTCTCAAAATCTTTTAAAACGGTTGTGCTTTTGTTCTTCCTTGCAAATTCCGAATTGACTACTGATATAAAAAAATTTAGTAAAGTGCGTTCGATGCACTTATTTCGGAAGCAGGACGCAAAGAACGATTCCATTAACACTCCTGCATCAGAAATATCCTAATTTGTGAAGTTAAAAAGAAGTTTTTATACAACTCTTAATCCAAAACGGGCATCAGTACTAGAGAGTTCAAATATGGACAAAACGAAATACATACATGATAAGTATACTCAGTGGAAAACGCCTGATAAATTAAATGCATTTAATAGAATTTTACTATGTAACTTTCCCAGTCCCACACCTTAATTGCGGGCGACAAGAGGAGCCCGCAATCTTAATCTCCAGGCTGTTATTAAGCATGCGTGGCATGTCCGTGGCCAGGATTCGTTTGGACTTCCACTAAGAATGAATGGAATGCACAGAACGCAATTTGATCACTCGTGATTGGACCTTCTATCACTGGTGATCTGATCAGGGCGTGTGTTTTGACCGACTATCACGTGAAACTTGCCCAAAGAAAAGCGTCGGAGCAAAAGGGTAATTAATTTCGACCTTCAATCGTTGTCACCCGCACTTTGCAACCTTTTGTTATTACTAGTTGATTGTCATTCAAATACAGTAAAATATAAAATGAACGTTTAATGATGAAACTCTCTCCCTTCCTTCATTCCTAGTATTCGAACAGAATGTAATCACGAAAGTCTAATCAAACGACTGAACCCGCGATAGCTATCGAATAAAAACACTTTAGAAAAGGACTGTGCAGTATGCTGAAAAACCAGTATTTTAGATAATTAAGTAAAGAAATTAACAAATTTGAGAGTAAAACTCGTGGAAAGTCATGCAGCGATCCGTTGACTTCAATATAAAAAATATTGTTCTTTTTTCGGTATACTTAAAAAACAATAAATAAGCGCCGATATTGATTTCTATTACGTATTTATTCTTTTTTTAAAAATGTTTAAGGAAATTCAAATAAATTTCAGCTTAACAAATTTAATCCTTTGAAATGTTGCATTAGGGACCGTTCATTTTTACGAGATAGGGAGGCTGGTGGAATTTTTGAACCCCTATTACGAATTACCATGGCCCCGCCCACTCAGTCCTCATTTTTTCTCATGCCCCCCCGCCCCCAAAGACGGTCATTTTTGGGGGTGACCCCTCCTTTCAAAAGAGACATTAGAGAGCTTAAGCAACGACGACGCGGACGGCAACGAGAACGTCAAAAAAAGCAATAGGTTTGATTAGCAAAACAACAACTTTGCACGTATCACGCTTTGTTTGTACATTTCTTTGCCGTCGTTGCCCGACTACAACGTGAAAGTGCCTGAATTCACGTTTTGTCGAGGAAGGGAACACAAAACAGCAACTTTCTTTTCTTTTCCTGAACTTTGATAGAGTTGTTTAGAATTCAACTCCAAAAACATTTGCCAACATTTGACGCAGTAAAGGAGATGGAATAAGCGCGATAAAGTTTGAAGCTGTGCGAATTCACTTTTTAAGTGACGTTTTTGTAGCCGTCGCCGTCGTTGTTGCTTAAGCTCCCTATTATCGTAATTAAACCTCACATGCATATTTTGCAGTGTACAATATGATTTGTATTTTCTCTTCAATGTAAAGCTGTTGACAACTCATTCTACAGATGTAGCAGCCACTTCTGTTAACTCAAAAAATAAATTCTGTCCATTCTGAGGTACTTCTTCACTTTTTTTCAAAGTCAAAAAGTCAATTTCCGATCTTCCGTTTATGGATCTTCCAGAGCGTGTCGTTGCTGCCCTCTCAACGTCTTCCTCGTCATCGATAAAGGCAAGGATGACATCTTCACCCCCAGAGTTGATGGATTTAAAAACTTGCAAGAGGTGACAGGCCGCACATCTTCACCTGCGTAAAACCTTTGAAAACCTTTTACATATTGCTCCATTGAGGAGAACTCTTTCAGGGATCTTACAGTTTGAAATTTAAACGATACCAAGACCA